ATGTCGCACAACTTTTGTTTCATTAATATCCATCAATTCGTCAATTATTAGCGAATATGGACTATTAGACATATCAGCTAGCAGTGCTTTCCCCTGCACTGTTATAAATAACAGTAGGAAACTATGGCAATCGATAAAAAAATAACCCCCAAGATTTTTACATTATTGAACTCGGGATCTNATTTAATTTATATAATTAGTAAAATATATTTATTATAGCCTGATAATTCAGCATGAATCATTTGGTTTTAATTAAGGATGCACCGATAAGCAAAATGGCCGATTACCGATTAATCGGCCATGCATTATTGGCCGATTAGTGTTAATAATTTATTGCATTAATGGTGTGAGATCCTGGATAATTATACAGTTAATTATAATGTGGAAAAAACCATTTTTCTCCGCCTGGTACTATTGTCTCCCTCGAGTCAGGTAAACAAGAGCCAATCGAATATCCTCGCAAAATCAACAACCTCTTCCTTTGAGAAAGTTTCTAAAATAAATCTCAACACTTAATTGTTGATGCATAGAAACTTCGACATTGTTTAAAAAGCCGAAGTGTTTCTGTGTTTAATTAACAGAAACAAAATATATTTCTTTAACTGCTGATATTTGGACAGCAACTAGAAACAATTCTCCTTTTTTAAGTGTACCAATCCACTGGTTGAAAGATGATTTTCAGCAGGAAAGAGCTGTTTTGCGAATTGTTCCCTTTGAAGGTTCCCACACAGCTACACGAATCAGTGAACAGATAAAAATTGTTTTTGAACAGTATAAGTTGACAAGTGATAAGATTCTTAGTACTGAGAGATTCTGCAGAAAATATGGTAGCTGTAATTAGGAATTGCAACTTAGAAGCATAATCATGCTTTATACACACACTGCAGCTGACACTAAATTAATACATATTTTCTCAACAAGATGTGAAAACTATAATCACAGTTAATAGAAATATTGTCACACATTTTAATCATTCTGCTGTAGCTGTAAGCAAATTGGAAGATTTGCAGGACAAGTTAGGTTTGCAGAAACACAAATTAATTCAAGATGTTCCTACTCGCTGGAATTCTACATCTATAAGTTGGAACAGCAAAAAGCCCTTGTCACATATGCTATAGATAATAAAATTCCTACGTTGAGCCTATATCAGTGGTATCTCGTTGAAAAAATTGTTAAGCTTTTAAAACCATTCAAAGAAATTACTGTGGAAGCCAGCAAATGAGAAACCATCTCATTTTCAATAATTCTCACAATAGAGACTCTGAAATTATTCTTATCAAAAGCAAAGAGCAGTAGTTCCTTTAGTGGCACTACAATAGAAGAACTAGAAAAATCAATAAAAAAGTTTTTCAGCATATATAGAAAACAAGTATTTATGCTTGTCATCTTTATTAGATCCAAGATTCAAAATGAAATTTCAAAAAGAGGATATGGTAGAGGAAATAAAAATATGGACAATTGATAGCTTAGAAGATGTTGATAATTCAAAGTCTCAATAAGAATCAAATTCTGAAGCTTCTACTTCTGGAGATGATCAAGATGGAGGTGAATCTCTAAATTTTTTTGATTTATTTGATGAATTAGCTTCTGGTAAATGAAAGAATGAAGAATAGCATGTTTTTAAAAAGACAGAAAAACAAAAGAAACGAAGAAATGTTTCAATCAAGAATTAGAAACATATTAACATTAATTTTATCCCATAAACAAAGACATAATGACCTATTTTTGTGTGGAGAAGTTCAAAAGAACTTTTTCGAATTTGAGCAAAATAGGTATGAAATATTTAAGTGCCCGAGCATCTTCCATTGAAAGTGAAAGAAGTTTCAACACTGGAGGTAACATTTATGAGCCCATAAGAAATAGGTTATGCCCAGAAAATAGTGAAATTCTCATGTTTTTGCATTACAATTTAAGGGTTTTACAGTTTGAATATTAAATTTTTAATTGTTCTATATGTTTAAACTTTAAATAAAAGAGATAGTTTTGAATAGGTTATATTATACCTTATAATATGTATCGATAAAAGGAATAACTTGAATTGTAATATTTTTTTAATATTCAGTTTGTCATGTCATAAATAATAAATATATAACAGAAATTTATTATTTTTTATTACTAGCATTATATGTAACATTCTAACAAAAATACCAAAATGCAAAATTGGCCGATTATCAAAACCAATTAATCGGGGAAATGGCCGATACCAATTAATCGGCAAAGTGGCCGATTACCGATTACTTACCAATTAATCAGTTCATTCTTAGTTTTAATCAAAAATCAGGTTTACAGCATTGTTGTTTATATATAGAATAAAATATTCTTAAAGTTAGTTTTAGAACAACAATTCAGAGATTATTATTTCAATATATGAAAACCAAATTTTAAAAAATTTGACAGACTTGACAATTTTTAATTAATGTAGATGATTTTATGAAAATTTTGCAAACTTTGTTTCAAAAGGAAAAAAGTCTTGATATGCTACTGGACATAAACATTACTGTACTGTTGAGATTTCTGTACAATATCAATACTATAATTAAAAGCCATTAAATGAATAAATTTTTATTCAGCATAAGTATAAACTAATACTAGTAATGGATTGTTACTTTTTAACTGTTAATTTGAAAAAGCAATGACATTGTGATTTAAAAACAGATCAAAAATTTACAAATGAACTATGTTCTCATAATCATTGTCAAAGTATATGAATAATTTGAATTGTCAACAGTTATCTGATCTTCAGATGCTAGTCTTTTTTTATGCTATTATTTTGTGTAACTGTTTTTTGTATGTGTAACCTAAAGGCTTGAAAGAAGAGCAAAATGTGATCAAATTTTGCTTAAAGACAGCAAAAAAAAAAAAAAAAACTTAAAGAATCATAAATAACTCCAGTAGCTAATCATGGACAGAAACAGGACTAATGTTTTTGATTCTATCCACAGATCTTTAGGTTCTTCAGGTCAGATTGAAAATGTTAGACCTAGTGTCCATGATTAGTTATTGGATTTATTTATGGTTCTTTAAGGTGTTTTTTGGTGCTATGTACCTACACTCCAGTGTAGAAAACTATTGTGAGTGCTTAAAGATAGTTTACCAGCTACAAAACTTTGGATATGGTGGAAAAAGCTTATAGCAAAGAGTCATTAAGCTAAGTGAACATCTTTTAATGGAATTCCAGATTTTGCAAAAGGAGAAACTTTATAAAAGATCTATGAGTGCAGGGGTCACACACAAGTTGAACAGACAACATTGCTACTGCCACTGCCACAGAATTTGTTTAAAACAATCAAAGAATCACTTTTCACAGGATAGACGAATTGAAGATATTAAAAATGTAATTCTCTGTACTTTAACTTAGGAATTAAAGACATGAAAACTGCACATGTTTCATTTCTCATGCATTGATGCATTGACACAGGTGCAACAATTATATGACAGTTTTTGGTCAAAAAACAAGTCATAATGTTAGACGACTCACTCTACTTATCTGATGTCATCCCAGACTATTTTTTTATTTCCAAAATTAAATTGCAATTAAAAGACCAAATATTTGAGACCATTTGTGAAATTGAAACTGCTGTAAGCAAGCAACTGAAAACTATTACAAAAAAATTTTCAATAAATTGGAAAAGAAAACTTAATAGGATATCAACTGTAATGGAACTTATTTTTTAATTTAAAAATTATTCTGGTGAATGAATATTTTATTTTATATAATCATTCTCTCAAAACTTAAAAGTACACAGTGCAGTTCTTATTTTAAATTGAAACATTAGGTGTGAGAATAACAAAAGCTTTGTTTTTGTTTTGCAATTCCCCTAAACAAACATAAAAATACACAATAAAAGAATCAGAACAGTTATAAACTTATAACTATAGAATGTGAACAGTTATAAACTTATAACTATGGCAAAATATTAAAATGTATTCAATTAAAAATATTTTGGAACTATTCTCCTGCTAAACGTAGTAATGGGAAGTCTCTTATATAATAATGCTATTATAAGACTATTTTTTGGAACTTCTCATGTTCTGAAGTACTGTATCAAATGATAATATCCACTGTATCCGATGGCAGTTCAGTCTGCTAATAATAATATCCTCTTCATCTTCCCATCCATATGTCTGTTTTTAATGCCATTTTTTATAATAATGAGATAATCATAACTGTGTAATTACATAGACTTGCACTGAATCACCGATTCTTGATTGATATCACTGATTTATCATCCCTTCTGCTCAACGTTGCTTCTGCTACCAAGGACACTATCAGCAGACAGTCAAAGAATGATTTTAAAGTAAATTTATAAATTGTTTGAAAAATCATATTCTATTTTAATTTGTTTAGTTCTGCATTATATGTATTGTACTTAAAGATGTCTGTTACAAACAAACAAAATAGTACTTTTACCAACATTTTCAAATTAATTTGTGCTGGTTTTAGATGTCTTTTATGAGATAATCTAGTTTTGGAGCATAACAGACTGAAGATACTGTGATCCTTCACAAACAACATCATGTCTGTAACACACTCTGAACAATACTTTTATGATGATGCTAGGCTACATGACCAGACCTAAATTCTCTTTCCTATTGTAGCAGTACATGGTAGCCACTGACTTCCCTCTACACCTTTCATCTAGGGCTTCTAAGGCTATGTGGTTTGTAAATGTTCCCTCAACTCCTGTACATTCAAACTAATTAACACATGTAATTGTTGATGATATTACTGTTATAGTGTTATTTTCAGACAATTTGTTGCGTAATAAGTTTATAATGTGTTTAAGAAAATTAAATGTAAAACATTACATAGCAGTAGTATTTTAAAGAATGCGGTGTAAGTCGTGTTTACACTGTTGTTGACAAGTAATTTAAATTATTTGTCTAATTATTCAAGAATTGACATTTATGTGATGGATACTATAATATATAAAAATGAAAAAAATGGTAAATACGACAATATATAATATTATTTGCATTGTTTTAAACTATATACACACCGCATTCACCGCATCTTGTAACTGAGTCAACCGATCCGCCATTTTATTTTAACTGACGTCAGCTCACTCAATGCACTGTTGCCAAGTTCCAACATGCAGCGCCCCATAGAATAAAAACAATTTCCCCTAGAAATTAAAATTCTTTATTCCTCTAAATTTTGATCGCTTCAAAAACCAAGTCGTCCTATACGCGTGAGCGAAGGATTCTTTGCGTTTTTGCAATAATTCCTGTGATCCGTGTGTTCGCATATTTTCTGGATGCTACCGATACCAATTAATCGGCAAAGTGGCCGATTACCGATTACTTACCAATTAATCAGTTCATTCTTAGTTTTAATCAAAAATCAGGTTTACAGCATTGTTGTTTATATATAGAATAAAATATTCTTAAAGTTAGTTTTAGAACAACAATTNATTTTTATATTCGAAATGGACCTTAAAAAACTTATAATTAATTAACCGCATTAATTATGGGATTCCTGTAATAATATGCTAGAACTACATATAACTCTAGAACTATACATCTCTCTTTGTTTTGACGCTGTTCTGATAAATATTATTTTGGGTTACTCGAAAGGAAGAACGATGAAGTTTGTCCTGTGCAATAATCAAATTTAGTTACTTTTAGTGGAAATATTATACGTATCCACGATCGAGAATAGGTAATAAATGTAATTATTCAAAAGACCAGACTTGTAAACAGCTATAATAGAAATCATACATAATATTAATCGAATCTAATAGTTATGATTGGCAACGTGAGGTCAATCTTAAACAATAAGAGACCATGTAAATTCTATGAATTCAACTGCATCGAAATCAATTCCAACGTTGTGTGTTTCAGTCATAAGAATTACAATAAATTTAATGCATTTAATAATAAAATATTTTATGTTAATTTATGTAAAATAAAACCAATAACTATTCAACAAATTACCTGTATCTCTTGTCTTCTTTCTGAGCTACTTTCATAACTTCTAAAAATGACGAATTTTCAGGCACGGTAAATTTTTTGGAACGAAAAGTGAAACAAGACTTTTTTCCACTCCTTTCACTCCAAATAGAAAAAACAACATTGATAAGATTCTTGTGAAATTGAGAAATTTGTTTTAAATTATATTCAGTTAAGTGTGGAATCAGTGGGCCTGTTGAATTTTCAGTAATAAGCTCTACCTTTTGATTTATAGGATTTTTTGAATAATCTAAGGGGGAAATAACACTTGATTAGTTTTTGTAAGAGCATTAGTAATATTTTTAGAGATTCCTTTGTAATTTTAAATCTATGAGTTATTTTAAGGTAAACAGCGAATTTAGAAATTTACCGATATGTTTTGACGAAATTTAACGAAAAAGTTTTGCGAATCCGATTTTTCTCCCGACAGTAAATCAAAGAAAATATCGATTCTTACTGAAGCTAATTCTGTTATAATACAAGGTCTGTTCAAAAAGTATCGGACCTTTGGTCGGCAAAAATAAATTTATTGACTTTGAGGTACAAAACCCTAATCCCATTCAAAGTAGTCTCCTTGGTAATGTATACACTTCTCCCAGCGTTNTTTGCATAATTTGGCCACGAAAATGAAAAAAATAAATAAATATATTTGTGTGGAATAGGAGAATCAATTTAGTCTTTTTATTGTCGTTAAGCAATTGTTATCATTGTTACGATATACATTGTCGTTTGCATTGTTGAAGGTTAAATGACGATTTTTACAATAAAAATGGGGATTTTAGGGGGTTGGAAAAGGGTTAAATTGTTGTCGACCAAAAAAATTGCTTGACAACTGCAAGAAGCATGTATATGTGTAAAAAAAATCGGACTAGACGGACTAGAACACAGTCCGGTGCATCGTTTGTGTTTATGTTATTTCTATTTTTAGTTTATTTGTGGTCGAAGGGATTCTTCCAACGGGACAGTAGGCCCCAGGGCCGCCGATAAAGCGAAAATCCCAAAGGGGGCCCGTAGGGCGGCTCAAGAACGGGATATGCCCCGGAGAGCGGTCCTGCTACCAAAGGGACCTGCAGGGCGGAACCGGAATCCGTATCTTAATCCGGATGTAATCGACCAACTGCGGATTCAGCGCAGGGCGCCAGATTCACCCAACGAGCAGGCAATTGTCCCGGGAAACCCCCCGCCGAGCAAAGTGGCTCAGATGATTTTAAAGTTTGAGGGATCAATGATCCCGCTAAGCACCACCGTAGGTTACCTAAACAAGGGCCTTGGGTGGTGCCCGCAGCTGCAAAAATAAGCCGTCAGACGCTTTAACCACTGACCCCGATCAAATGGTGTGCTCCGACATGTCCCCACAACAAATAGGTGGGAACCAGATACTTTTACTTTTAAATAAAGTTTATTATTATACTTAGTTGTACATGCTGCAACATGCAGAAAGAACAAAGAATACTTGATACGCGTACATCAATAGTGTATTATAGACAGCGAAATTTTAATAATAATTACATTTGACATTTGCCATAATGCCTTAATGGAACAGATAGATTAAATATATATTGTGTACAGGGTAGGCATTATGGTTACAGGTTGTTGCAATAAAAGACGCGGTTACAGGGTGCATGGCACCACGTCCAGAACCGACCCTGGAGGGCTGTGGACCAGGTAGAGATAAAATTATAACATATTACATAACCGACATTCCATACAAGTTACCGAAAAACAGCCTATTGCAAACAGCATCAATGCCATTGATCATTTAATACAATATTTCCATTGATAGTTTTCAAGATGACCTCTTGTGTGCCGTGATATAGTTTATCAGTCATTTTGAGTGAGGTTGTCAAGGTCAAAAAGGTTTTTCTTGATGGCTTCCTCTCTGATTTTTTCCACAATTAGAGAGACATTCCATTTTTTATTATCATATAGTGAAGCACATCTGGCTTTCCAAAGTACCCTTTTTGTGAGGGCAAAGAACCAGTTGATCATATATTTGTTCTGATTGCTGATGGGGAAATCCTAGTTGTACCAGATGTTTCTCCAATTTATTGCGATTTTGAATATTTTGTAGACCCAGGTCCAGGTGATTTCAGCTATGGCACAGCCAATAAAGATGTGATAAGTATCCTCGTCGACACCGCACCGATTGCATTTTTTGTTGCTCATGCAGCGGTAGCTGTGATAGACGTGGAGAAAGACCTTCGACATGATGATGTTATTTAATATCCGCCAGGACGTCTCTCTCCATTCAGCGGGTATAAAGTCTACGTTTGACCAAACTTCAGGCCAGTTGACTGATGTGTCCGATGTGTTGACATTGGTAACCTGCTTGTGAAGGATGTTGTAAATGATGGATGGCCTTACTTTGTTGTTTGTGAGCCCATTAGTGACCATTGCGTTGATACTGTCCCTCCAGAGTTTGTGAACCTTGTTGTTTTCAATGGAGAAAGGCCTACATCTGTTATCACCGGAAAGTGACTTAGCTGACGGACCAATGAGGCGGTGAGCAATGTCAGAGATGGGATGATCATCAGTTTTTAAACCGTTGGCTAGGTTGGCAATTTGAAGAGATTGTTCTAGATCTTTAATGTCCCATATGCCCCATCCCCCATTCATGCTGTTGTTTTTCATCAATTTTCTGCTTAGTGGTTCATAATTACTATTCCATATATACTTGAAGATTTGTTTTTCTATTTTGTTTGCCTCTTTTTTTGTTATGTTTGTCACGTAGAGGTTATACATTATTTTTGCTATGAGACATTTGTTTGCCACTATTGCTCTCTCTGGCAGGTATAACCATGTATTGTTCCAGCTCTGTATGGCCTTTTTGATTTTGATCTTCATGTCATTGATGTTATTTCTTTGGTTGTCCTTGCCGTACCAGATGCCTAGAATTTTGGCAGATCGTACTGACTCAATGTTACAATTATCACAGCTCCTTGAGCCATAGATGTTTAGTAGCTTGCTTTTAGAATTATTTATCTTCATACTTGTTATCTCACTGAAAATTTTGATTTTTTGTATAGTTCTATTTAAGGCAACATTGTTATGATGTTCACATCGTCAACGTGGGCTATATATTTTACTTTTTTTGACATCCCAGGAACGTATATTTGTGGGATTAGTTTGTCGTTCATTATCATTCTAAGGAGTGCTTCAATGTAGACGGTAAAGAGGATCATTGACGAAGGGCATCCCTGTCTGACCCCCACATTGCACTCTATATACTCGGATTCCTCATTAATAATACATATTTTTGTTTTGGGCGATTGGTAAAGTTTGTTTATTGTGTGGATCTCTTTTTCATTAAGGCCAAACAGTTCCATGATCTTCCAGAGGATGGTCCTGTTGACAGTATCAAAGGCCTTTTCTACATCCATAGACAGGACGGCCAGTGGGGATTTCCTCTTTATGTATAATTCTTGAATCAGGTTCAGGAACATTGTGTTGTTCTGGATAGAGCATTCTTTTATCCCGGCGCTCTGTGTGCAGCCTATGTGTTTTCTGAAGAGTTCGTCTAACCTGTTAGCAATGACAATACTGTAGATCTTGTAATCTATGTTGAGAAGGGTGATTGGCCTGTATTCGCCCAGACTACCATTCTTGTTGCCTTTCTTGTTGATCAGTTTCATTTTGCCATAGCAGTAAGTATTATTAAAGCGGGGGTTATTGTATAAGACATGAAAAAGGTCAGCGAAGTCTTCACGAAAGGAGAGATATAGTTCGGCAGGTATGTTGTCAATGCCCGGAGCTTTTTTGAGATGAAGTCCATTTATAGCTTCTTTGATTTCCTCTTTGGTGATTTCTTTATCTATAGTATGTTCTTCTCTTTTTTTTATTGGTTTGATTACTTCCGTTATTTGGTTCCAATAATGTAGGTCAGTTTTTGGTACTTTATAGAGGTTGGTGTAGAACTTGGCAAATTCTTTAATGATTTCTTTTTTATCTATACTATCTATCTTGTTGTCAACAGTTATGCTTTCTATTTCATTTTTAGTACTTTCTTGTTTGTTTTTTTTAATATAATTTTCTCGGCTTGGCTGTGGATTCCCAGTTTGTTCATCTTGTAATTGTTGTAGCTGTATTTTATGCTTTTTTCGAGTTCCTCGCTAATTTCTTTTTCAATCTTAGCGATTTCTTCTGGTTCTGTTTTGGTTTGTTTCTGGTTTGTTTTCAATGATTTTATTGCTTAGCTCCCTCTGGAGCTTCTTAAGTTTGTTGAATTTGTCTCCTTTTATTTTTTTCCATGTTTCTTTGCTTTGTTCATATATCTCCTTAATTTCTGTCCATTTTTCCCATGTTATGCTGTTTTTGTTCTTATCAAGAAGTAGTTTGATCTTTTTGGTGAATTGGGAGTCATTAATAATTTCTTTGGAGATTTTAAAGCAACCATCCTTTCGATTTCGTATTCGTTTCGATTCTTATATTTAGGTTGATTAATTTATGGTCGTTTAACTTTGCCCCATTGTTTGTTAGGTTATAACTTGTTATGTTACTTATATTTCCTATGGATTTGTTGTACTAGATCCTGTCAAGGCGCTCTTTCACGTCTTTTCCTTCCCAAGTATAGTCACGGTGATGTGGGTGTACAACACGGTAGGAGTCACTAAGGTTGAAGTTGTCTATAATTTTTTTTAATGTTTGTCGTGATCCATCAGACATAAATTGCCCATTTTTATCCATTTGGCTGATGATACAGTTAAAGTTTCCTGCAATGATCAGTTCTCTTCTGCCCATTAGATATTAAGTCAGTTCCTCCAATACTTCTTTTCTATGTGCTACTTGAGGTGGTGCGTATATGTTTACTACTCTGATCAGTCTGTTTCTAATGTGTAGGTCAATTGCGACAAGCCTTCCATTTGAATCAGTCCTGAAGTTGTTAACTTTCAGCCTTTTGTTTACCATTGTGATGGTACCCGTACTTCTCCTTGTTGCGAAGGAGAGGTAAATGTTGTAGCCTGAAAAGAGTTTCCTAAAATTCTTTAGGTCCTGAAAGTCAACCATGTTTGTGTCTTGTATCATCATTACATCAGTGTTCTCTGCGAGGAGAAGATTGAGAATAAAGATCTGCTTAGTCTCGCTATGGAACCCAGAGATGTTTACAGATTTGATATTTAGTGTGATGTTATCGAATGTTACTGTTCTATTTGGGATAGAACTCGTTTGCGTTTTCTTTGTTTCTTTTTTTCTTCTTTTGCTATTGCTTTCCCTACTTCCTCTATAACCTCATTTTGGGATAAGCTGGCATTGATCCCAATTGATAAAATTTTGTCTCTGAAATTAATTTGTTCTTTTTCCTCTTCTTCCCTTTCTTCAGTGTCAATCCTACGTGGTTCCTTTGATTCTTTGCTGGTGTTTTACAGCTCTAAAGCATATATTTACAAAGCGGCTTCTCGAATTTTGAAACTTTTAGTTCAAGTCCATCTGGAACGTTTTTCTCCTACGAATTTCTTAAAAGTTTCTTCCATAAATCGTCTTAGATTTCCTTCCGAAATTACATTTCGTCTTTATCTCGCCATCCAGTAACGAATGTCGGCATTCAAATTTAAAACTCGTTTTCAAACTGAGTTTTCAATGCACAATTTTTTTATTTCAAGAAAATTTCTTGTATTCCTGAACACTGGTGCCGCTTTCTTCTTTGCTCTTCTTTCATTTATCGTATTTGCATGTCGACGAAATGTGCGGTGTCATCGGGCTACGATTTGAAAACATTGTAAACCAATAAATCCCCACTGTTGCCGTCTGTCTGGCTGTCTTCCATTAATCTCAAGAACGGACTTAGACAGACGAGAGATGAGATCAAATATGAAAATCCCAGGGGAAGGAGGCCCCGATTAAATATACAGGAATTCCGATGCAAACCGGAAGTCACGTTATTTCAGTACAAAATTTTTCCCCGAAAGGAGTTAGATAGATGACCGGCACGACTCTATTGTTAAAGGAAAAGTATGCAGCCCGGCAGTTTACAGTTTTCGCCCACTCCTCTTTATTCTATAAACGATAAAATTGTTTTGTAGCATACAGTTAAGAATTTTTTTTTAAACAAAGATGTAAAATCTTAAAATAACTTACCAAGATACAATCTCCGACGTCAATGGCGGTCGCGTAACATTGTTTTTTTTATTTTTATACATGACGTGCTTCCATATATCATCTATTAACATTCTGCTATTCAAATTAATTAAGTTATCATTTTGAAGAAAAATAATAAATATAAACATGGCCGACGGTATTACATTTAATTAAATAGATAAATATAAAATTGCAACGTTTAACAATTCTTTGTTTCCGTTTGTTCATCCGTCGTTCGCTCCAGTTGACAATCCACAATTTTACAAACACGGAGGCGACCTTTCTTTAGAGGCTACTGCCTCCGCAATAAAATGCAAATATGGTAAAAAAAACGTCCTCTGGTGCTATCGCCATTTTCACATAAAATTCATTTTGAAGAAAAAAAATAAATATAAACGAATGAACAAAGGGAAACAAAGTATTGTTAAACGTTGCAATTTTATATTTATCTATTTAATTAAGTTATCATTATTTTTAATCTCTATATGTTCTGTAAATTTCCGTAGACATACATCACGTTATAGAAATATTAATTGTTATATTTATTAATTGTACAATTATTTTTACTACAATGTATAAAGCAAGGTGATTGGATATTTTTTAATTTAACCTCGAACGGACCACCGGGTGTTCTCTGCGCACTTAATGTTCTATTAATTAATTAACTCGTCTGCCGTGTTATTCTGTCCGAATACGGGCTACCTTGTAATTTCTTTTTCAAGATATTCTTTTAAGTTATGCAAAAAAAAAAAAAAAATTGCAAAAATCTACTAACGGCGGCCTACATTTCCCCCGACTTTATGAGTTTTGAATCTAATTTTTAAAATAGGTGTTGTGCTCTTTGATGGATCCAATATAAATCGTTTCTCTTTCTCATCTATTCACTTTTTTTTAATGATTTTTAAATTTCTTTATTTATATTTGTTATTATTTCAGTTGTAGAATCTTCTTTTAGTTCTACAAAATCTTCATTTTGACCAATTCCAACCACTGGCTTCTCTCCCATTCGTTTGCAACTAAAAGAAGTTATTCTGCTTTATCCGCTCTAAGAACAATTATGTTATTTTGTTGTAGGCTTGGGGACACATTTTCAAAATCTTCCTGTCGACCAACCGCCGAAATTCGAAGTGGAAGGGGAAAAAATTAACACGCGATATTTTTTGTAATAAATAATAAAATTTTGAGACTTAAACATTTGAAATGCATCTAAAATAAAATCAATATAAAATAGTTCTTGTCTATTTTTTTTCTTTCGTATTCAAATTTCCGTTTTTTGCAAGAAATTATTCTCCAAATTGCTATGGGTGATGGGTGGGAAGTGTAAATGCAGCCTGTCAAATCTTTGACGACTTCTCGCTGATTTCTGGTGTTTACGATTAAAACAATTTTGATTCGTTTCTTCTTAAGACCGCTCACGCGCAAGAAAAATCACTGCAGAAAAGTAACTCTACAGCGGTCCCATCCGAAATATACATCGGGTCTTCGTCAGATCCGGAAAAGAATTTATGCAATCCGATATTGGCTATTATTGTAGTGACGCCACAGCCAATACGGCAAGATGGAGGAAAACGCTATTTTAGCATTTAGTTGACATGCCTGTGTGTCAATGAATAGGAATATTTTTTAATCTCTTCTATAGACGATTCCACAAAATCCGATTGCTCTTTTGCTTCAAATTCTATATTCTTTCGAAACTCTTTATTACGCATGCGAGACCACGCATGGTGACCACTTAAATCTCTACCTGATTGCTATCCGAGCGAGAAAGTCCTTTTCAGTATTCTGTAAATGAAAAGTTAAAAGTTGGTCGACACGATTTTCTGCACTGGTTTGATGGTAAGGAAAAGAAAAATTTCTCAAAATTTTGGTCTTGTTTATTTTTTAATTATTGAAACGTGTACAGTTAATTTCATAATTACAAATATAAATTGAGAACATTTGTTCATTAATATTAAAATTAATATTAAAAATTATGCTATGTGTAGTAAATGGTACTGAATTAAATTGTACACTCTCTTTTCAATACTGAATAATTTTTTAGAGAAACACTTCTTTTAACACAAACTGCAAATACCGAGACAGTATTTAAAAATGTAATGATCATTATTTTTCGGCCGTTCTTTATCTGCCCCTAAAAATAAATTTTATAGCCATTAGAGAATCATTAAAATATTCTAGAGGAAACGTTAAAATCTTGTCGAGTATCAGCTCAAAACAATTTTAAAATATTTTATTCTATATAATGTTAATATATTAATCATATATCAAGTAAAACAATTTAAAATTACCCTCTGACGTCAAGACTAAATCTCCTGTCTCGTTAATTTTATATAACATCCAATAATAGTGATTATCGTTATCATTATGGATTCCATCGATTTCTTCTATGAATGACCCCCACGAATATTTCTTTGCTTTAAAACTGAAATAAAGAACTACAGTAAATACCATAAATATAAATTTTAATAGATAATAATATATTGTAACATAAAATAAAATGAATTGAATAATTATACGGAATATACATAAGAAAAATTCTCTAATGTATGTTCATTTCTTCGTAATGTGACTAAATGCAACGTGACTTGTGTCTTCGGAATATGAAGAATACGTCTTCGTACCGTTCATATAAATAAAATAAACAAATAAAAAAGAATCTTATTCAAAATTAAATTTTTTGAATTTTATACAATATGTTTTTTTCGGAGAAAAAACTGCATTTACTTTTTATTTATTTTAATCATTAGTTTTCAGTTAATTTAATAGGAATATATTAGTCAAAAACATACGGAAACAGTGAAGAAATATCAATAATAAAGAACGATATCAAAATATATTTTCCGGAGAATTACATTATATTTCTTTTTTAATTAAAATTTTTCACTTATTTCATTGCAAACCGAGAGTAATTTTCTCAAAATAGATCGGAATAAAATTGTAACAATATAAAATTAATTTATATTTTAGTATGGTGATCGGTTAAATATTAATCTTCCCCGGTTTTTTGCACTTCTTCACTCGAAGAAGTCCACTTAATGGCATTGATTGACGTATATGCCACTTATGATCATTAATCAAATGAGGTATATGCCACTTAGGGTCATTTAATGACGTAAATGCCACTTAAGGGCATTAAATGACGTGATTGCCACTTAACGCGGTTTTTCCTAATGCGAAATTAATTGAGGCAATCTCTTTATATACGCGGCAGAAGTTTTAATTAATTAACCGCATTAATTATGGGATTCCTGTAATAATATGCTAGAACTACATATAACTCTAGAACTATACATCTCTCTTTGTTTTGACGCTGTTCTGATAAATATTATTTTGGGTTACTCGAAAGGAAGAACGATGAAGTTTGTCCTGTGCAATAATCAAATTTAGTTCCTTTTAGTGGAAATATTATACGTATCCACGATCGAGAATAGGTAATAAATGTAATTATTCAAAAGACCAGACTTGTAAACAGCTATAATAGAAATCATACATAATATTAATCGAATCTAATAGTTATGATTGGCAACGTGAGGTCAATCTTAAACAATAAGAGACCATGTAAATTCTATGAATTCAACTGCATCGAAATCAATTCCAATGCTGTGTATTTCAGTCATAAGAATTACAATAAATTTAAAGCATTTAATAATAAAATATTTTATGTTAATTTATGTAAAATAAAACCAATAACTATTCAACAAATTACCTGTATCTCTTGTCTTCTTTCTGAGCTACTTTCATAACTTCTAAAAATGACGAATTTTCAGGCACGGTAAATTTTTTGGAACGAAAAGTGAAACAAGACTTTTTTCCACTCCTTTCACTCCAAATAGAAAAAACAACATTGATAAGATTCTTGTGAAATTGAGAAATTTGTTTTAAATTATATTCAGTTAAGTGTGGAATCAGTGGGCCTGTTGAATTTTCAGTAATAAGCTCTACCTTTTGATTTATAGGATTTTTTGAATAATCTAAGGGGGAAATAACACTTGATTAGTTTTTGTAAGAGCATTAGTAATATTTTTAGAGATTCCTTTGTAATTTTAAATCTATGAGTTATTTTAAGGTAAACAGCGAATTTAGAAATTTACCGATATGTTTTGACGAAATTTAACGAAAAAGTTTTGCGAATCCGATTTTTCTCCCGACAGTAAATCAAAGAAAATATCGATTCTTACTGAAGCTAATTCTGTTATAATACAAGGTCTGTTCAAAAAGTATCGGACCTTTGGTCGGCAAAAATAAATTTATTGACTTTGAGGTACAAAACCCTAATCCCATTCAAAGTAGTCTCCTTGGTAATGTATACACTTCTCCCAGCGTTCCTGCCATTGCTGGAAACACTGCTGGAACGCATCTTTTGGAATGGTTATCAGCCGGTCCGTCGCATTTCGCATGATGTCTTCTCTCGACTAAATTTGGGTTCCTTTTAGCGGCATTTTCAGCTTGAGAAATAGCCAAAGGTCACACGGAGCCATGTGGAGAGAGTACGGAGCGTGACGAACCACAGGAGTATTGTGTTTGGCGACGAAAGCCCGAATCAGATGCGCAGAATGGGCGGATGCGTTATCACGATGGAGCTGCCAAGTTTTGATCGACCACAGATCCCATCGTTTGCATCGCACTGTATCGGAAAGACGACGAAGGACCTCCTGGTAGTACTCCTTTGCGATGGTTTGGCCTTGTGGTGCGTACTCACGACACACCACCCCACGAGAGTCGAAAAAACTGTCAACATGACCTTTGATATTGCTGCGGACCTGCCGCGCTTTTTTTGGCCTCGAGGATCGTCCCCGAAAGCCTGCTGAATCTTGCGAATGGTGTACACTCGGGTATCGCCAAGGTTTTTGGCAAAATTTGATGTAATATCGCTGCTCACGTTGTTCAGTCATTTTCCAGCTTAGTGAAATCCGACGAGAGCGCACTACATGACCTCACTCATACGCCGATTGCCAACGACTGACGCTTTCTGCAGGCGGGAAAAAATTCAGGGCTGTTCATGACTGTCCCCTCCACAACTCCACCGAAGGAGGCCTCTCTCGCATCATTGGTTTACGCGGAAAAAAATAAGGTCCGATACTTTTTGAACAGACCTTGTAGATCTTATAATGATACCGATTTAAACAGCGTTCAGACAGGTACTTCTTACGATATTTTACGTCAAGATCATGTTTTTGCGTTTCGTTATGCTACGTGTTCATACGTGCGTATTAACCTTTTACATTTAGCCAATCAAGTATCAAGGTTTTTATAATCCTTTCCCCTATGAATTGGGATACTTCGATAATTAGGTTTTTGTCTTTCAATATGCTTCTCTTCGATTTGTTTTCTTCCTCTTTGTGTGCCAGCATGGAATGATGAGATCAATATTGATTCGCTGAAAATTCGTTCCATTAAAATTGACTCGGAGTAATGACGTGGTTGTCACTGAAATGGTTGCCTGGCATATCCGTCGCAGAATTTGTTACACATGCCTATCTGAACGCAGCTTAAAAGTTGACTTAAGTTTCTTAGAACAGATTCACATTAAGAAATCTAAAAACTGATAAACGTAAGATATTTTGTTGTCTGATAGTCTAATCTATTGATATATTATAAATCAAAATTTCCCAATCCGTGATCCGTGAAAAACTTAAAATTTAGATTGTAAAATAGCGAAAAAATAATAAATTTTCAATAAAAATTAATTTGATGTTTTTAAAACTTTGCCGATGTTATTTAACTTAAACAGTTTATTATGTATAATATTAAGAAGCAACGAAAACACGATCAAAAATATTATAGTGAAAATGAACATACGAAATGTATTTTTATATTCGAAATGGACCTTAAAAAACTTATTCAAAATTACCGCTCCCTAATTGAAAATTTTAAAATACTTCTATAGATGAAAGGCTAGGTGTCTTTAGAAGATCTATGATTCTATACAGTACAATACGTGGTATATCTATTTAACAAAGAAAAAAATTCTTGTTTTACACTTTTTATATAGTTTAACAATAATTGTTAAAAGAAGTAAAATTAATATTGTATTGAAAATTGATCCGAATGTACCGGAATCCAGCAAAAGCTGAGAAAGGAAAATCGACATATTTATTGCAGACTCTCACTTTCTTAACTATTATTTAGACTCTGAAAACATTATTTATTTTCCCGCAGAAATACCTAAAAGTAGGAACACCGTGCGACTTTGTCGTAAGAGATAGAATTGAGACAAAGCGTTGCGTTTTTGTAATTAAAAAAATTTAAATAGTATTTGTAGGTTACATATACTGTAAATTATCTTTCGTTCTAATTAACCCAAGAGCTGACACGGGTTTGAATGTGTGTGTAAAGGCGTGCTTATGTGTATGAATGTGTGTTTGAGAATGAGAGAGTGTTTGTGTTTGTGATCAGAAGAAAACGGTTGCTTGCCACACGAGAAAGCAATTTCTTATACTTGTCGGCCATGAAGAGGCAATCCTTACACTTGCTGGGCACGGACGGCCATCCTTACATTCGTTCGGCGTTTTGTTCGTTTTTGGTACCTATTGTCACTCTGACCCCACTGTAAATCGAAAACGAAGTCATGGAATCCCCACATTGTATTACATTTTTCGATTCTTCATCGTTATTAATTGAAAATGGCAAAATTTAGCCTATTTAAAATCGATCGATCAAGTTTTAAGTACGAACACAATCTGTAAGTCTCCTAGAAGTGGCTTCGCTAACGCCTCGGCTCAATAGATTCAGTTCAATCCTTTTTGTTGAATTATTTTCAAAATATAAACTTTTTGGTAAAATTATAGGAGCCGAAATCACAACAATTTGCACTCAGTTTCGTTTAAAATCAAAAATCTAGTGGAAATCGATATTTAAAATAAATTTCAAACTCTGATGAAGCGCATGAAGATTTTTAATTGGCAATATCAATTATAATTTAAATAAATCTAAAATATCTAAATATTATAATGGGCATTTTTTAAATTTTAGAAATGGAAACAACTACATCAAACGCAATTAAATACCTGTAACTTTTAATTTCTCACATCCAACGTTACCAATATCCACGAAACTACGTCCATTTAACACAGGTAGTACAAAATATGTAGCAAGAAGATCACCAAACGAACCATCATGCTTCTGTTCCGAAAGGACATAATTAATACCTTTTTCATATGACCAGCCATCCTTTTCTTTAGCAGCAGTCAGCGCCTAAAAAATTGTTATAAAATTTCTGTGATTCAAAGCAAAACATTTTCTTTAATTAAACGTTAGTAGACTTTTTAATTCTTAAATAAAACTGAACTTGGATTTAATTTTGAGTATGAATTTTAAATTTATAAATAACGCACAGATTTACAATAAAGACTTTAATGCATATTATTGTTATGATCTTATAAATTTGAATTCAGAGGTGTTTTTGGAGACACTTCTTGCCAACAGGGTGGAAAGTGTTCGCCAAAAAACTCAGAGGGCCTTTTGCACCAATTATAATATCGAAAAAAATTATTTTTAAGGCTATATTATCCATTTGGTATCAGAAATGCTTAATTGAAAAAAATTAAAACATTTTTTATATTTTGAAAAAATTACCTTTAATTAATAGTTTCTGTAGTTTTTAATAACATTGCGTGCTGTAACTACTGGTATAATTAAAACTCATAAATTCATTCGTTCAATTTTTATATAAGTGTAAAAAGACTTCAGATTCACCCTCTTTAACAACTGTAAAGCTCACATTAAAATACAACTACAAATAAATTAATATAATTTTCATTATATTTCATAGAATATATGATTTAACATCATACCTGAATAACTAATGCCGAACTATATATATTTCCAAAATTTCCTTTAGAAGTTTGTAGACCTTTAAGTAATTCCAATTGCTCCTGAATATATTTATTCATTTTATTTTCTTTATACTTATCTCTAATACAAATTAATGCCATGACAATCATTGCTCTTGCATCTGAAACAAAAAATTTACTTGATTATATATTCAATAAAGCGGCGCATGGTAGAGGTGTCAGTCCAACGCTCTGGAGATCTGAAATCGAATTCAGGCCAGCAACTCTAGAAGTTTTTCTTGGAGGTCTGTTCCGGATATGTCTAGCCCGCACCTCACCACCTGGCCGCTTCCACTGTAGATCCGGTTGAACTTATAATGGGAATGAGAAGTAGAACGGTACCTTATAATATACAACTCTTATCTGATTTTTGTACACTTTCGATATTATCGGTAACACATTAAGTCAGAAAATCGGATACTGCCTATACTGTATTATTATAATAAATGTATGGAAATTAAGTAGTGATATATTATCTCTACTGGCTTAACTGATGTTAATTATAAAATTTTTAATTAAAATCTCTCCACTGTCGGATTTAATTATTGTTCAAATCTTTGTCCAGAGTTTGGCTATGTTGTTTAAACTCTGGCAGTCTGCCAGTCGTGTTAGAAATATTAAGCTGGTGTCTTAACTGTTGAGTCTCCTTAAAGGTCGAAGGCCAAAACAATTGTCAATAGTATATTTGCGTTACATTTTAAATAAAACAGCAATAGAAGGCAATTCTAAATTTTATTAATAAATAAAATTTTTCCGAAAGTGCCATAATATGTCTCTACCATATTGAAGCACATTCAAATACTAAATTATTCTGAAAATGTTTTTCTGACAATCTCTGCCATTGCAACCATAAAATCTTATTAATTCAATAATTACGCTTAACGCGTACATTCTCGTATATGATAATCAAATCTTGCTTACCAACAAATAACGGATTTAATTTTTGTAAGAAATCAGTACCCATTAGGATCACATCATGCTCCTTTTTGGCTAAACAAGCTGAAAGTGATACTAAACCAATTTCATAGCTGGATATTTTCTTCTTTTCAATCATTTTACTAATTATATTGACTCCATTAAAATTTTGAGGATCATAACAATTTGTCATTAGAGCATTGGCATACAATGCTAGCTGTCCTGCAGAGATAGACGTAATTCTGCAAAAAAACAAAAACAGTAATAAAATAATTGAAATTAATAACGGTACTGGCACAGCTTTTATTCTGAAATGAGTTTGAGTACGTTATCGCGTGCCAGTGCATCATATAGTGATTTTTCTTCTATGCTAAATTCGCTAAACTGATAAAGTTTTATCAGAATTATATAAGCTTACAAAAAGAATCGATATTTCAATTATCTACAGAAANACTGTCCGGACGATAGCACTACCGTAGGCGCGATGCAAGTATAGATTAGGATGTTTCAAATTTTTACAAGATATTATTATTATTTATTGTGAAATTTTGCCGTTCCCTAAAAAGTGCCGCCCGGGGCGGGCCGCTCCTGCCGCCCCCACTACGGTATGCCACTGACGGATGATTATTTGAAAATCAGAATTCGGAGAAACTCGTAAGTATAATCGACGAAGAATGGATTCGACTGTTAAGAATTGGCAAAAATGTTTCCGATTCTCCAATTTTACATGAACAAATTACTGTATGTCGATTTTACAAGATTTTTCTTTAAAGTTTAAAATACCAGCAATTTTTGCGGGACAATGTGTGCATTTATATGCATTTGACATTTTATTTGTGACATCTCGCCATCCAATAACGAATGTCCGCATTCAAATTTTTATTAATATTTAAAAATTATGTTTCCAACATAAAATACAGGTAGGCCTCCTACAACGCGGTACCTTTACAATGCGTTTTCGCTCCAACGCGGTTGGAAAAATGCGGTAATTTTCTTACAACGCGGTTTACGGTAGTTAGAAACGAATTATCTTTCACATAACAGAAAAATCGCAACGGATCACACGATGCGAACCGCAATTCGGCATACAGAACTAAATGTCCTTGAAAACAGCTGTTTGTTGCTGTTTCCGTGTTATTTATTCCCTTGAAAGTTTCAGGGAAAGACCTGTTTCTAGACAGATAAGCACCAGTTACCGTAAACACTTAAATATATCCCTAAATTCTCCATCATTTATACTGTTCCAATAAGTGGGGACAGCAAAAATGGTCCAAAATACAGTATAAACTTCTATTGGATGTATATTTTTAACAACATAGTGAAGAAAAGTTATTTTTTGCGATTTTTACTGTCCACAAAACTGATTGAAAAAATTTTAGCCATAACAATGTTGAATGAAAAGAAAGGACCGTCGTTAAAAAGGAAATTTATAACTCTTCAAAGATAGAAATTTTGGATCGAATTAAAAATCAAGAGCGGATAGCTGATATTTAGAGCCGGCCCTAACATAGGGCGAACGGAGCAGCCACTCCAGGCGCTAAGTCCTAGAAGGCGCCTCAGTGGTAAAGAAAATTAAAGGGATAAATTAGGGGCAACAAGAGGGGCGCCATAATAGGATCTCGCTCCATCCTAAAACTTGCCTCGGGCCGGCACTGCTGATATTAGTAGGCATTTTAATTTAAATGAGTCGACTATTCGGTCGATTAAGCAATCGGGAGAAATGATTAGAAATTTGGTCGCATCCGGATCATCTATTCTTGCGAAAAATGTTGCTAGTCCGAGAGCACCTATAATGTAAAAAATGAAACAAGCGCTAATATTATGGGTAGNATAGGTGTTGTGCTCTTTGATGGATCCAATATAAATCGTTTCTCTTTCTCATCTATTCACTTTTTTTTAATGATTTTTAAATTTCTTTATTTATATTTGTTATTATTTCAGTTGTAGAATCTTCTTTTAGTTCTACAAAATCTTCATTTTGACCAATTCCAACCACTGGCTTCTCTCCCATTCGTTTGCAACTAAAAGAAGTTATTCTGCTTTATCCGCTCTAAGAACAATTATGTTATTTTGTTGTAGGCTTGGGGACACATTTTCAAAATCTTCCTGTCGACCAACCGCCGAAATTCGAAGTGGAAGGGGAAAAAATTAACACGCGATATTTTTTGTAATAAATAATAAAATTTTGAGACTTAAACATTTGAAATGCATCTAAAATAAAATCAATATAAAATAGTTCTTGTCTATTTTTTTTCTTTCGTATTCAAATTTCCGTTTTTTGCAAGAAATTATTCTCCAAATTGCTATGGGTGATGGGTGGGAAGTGTAAATGCAGCCTGTCAAATCTTTGACGACTTCTCGCTGATTTCTGGTGTTTACGATTAAAACAATTTTGATTCGTTTCTTCTTAAGACCGCTCACGCGCAAGAAAAATCACTGCAGAAAAGTAACTCTACAGCGGTCCCATCCGAAATATACATCGGGTCTTCGTCAGATCCGGAAAAGAATTTATGCAATCCGATATTGGCTATTATTGTAGTGACGCCACAGCCAATACGGCAAGATGGAGGAAAACGCTATTTTAGCATTTAGTTGACATGCCTGTGTGTCAATGAATAGGAATATTTTTTAATCTCTTCTATAGACGATTCCACAAAATCCGATTGCTCTTTTGCTTCAAATTCTATATTCTTTCGAAACTCTTTATTACGCATGCGAGACCACGCATGGTGACCACTTAAATCTCTACCTGATTGCTATCCGAGCGAGAAAGTCCTTTTCAGTATTCTGTAAATGAAAAGTTAAAAGTTGGTCGACACGATTTTCTGCACTGGTTTGATGGTAAGGAAAAGAAAAATTTCTCAAAATTTTGGTCTTGTTTATTTTTTAATTATTGAAACGTGTACAGTTAATTTCATAATTACAAATATAAATTGAGAACATTTGTTCATTAATATTAAAATTAATATTAAAAATTATGCTATGTGTAGTAAATGGTACTGAATTAAATTGTACACTCTCNAAATTCGATCTCCCAAAAATGTAATGATCACCATTCTTTGGATATTCTTTATCAACTCCTGTAAAAAATTGATAGCAGATTATAATTTTAGTAACATAACCGATATATGGTTATTATAATTTGAACATTTACGTGTATATTAAAAAATATTCAGTAAATTCATAACTTTAAAAATGCATTTATTTAAGAGATCATTCAAATATGATATTGGAAATAGGGAATATTTAAAAATTTTGACAGATTGTGACAGAAAGTGTGGGCTGTGGAATGATGATACACTAAGGATTTTCAAAAATTTTTCTATTTGAAATAATTTTTTTTAAAATCAAAATCATTATGCAGAAGTATTTTGATCAATGATCNATTCTTTGGATATTCTTTATCAACTCCTGTAAAAAATTGATAGCAGATTATAATTTTAGTAACATAACCGATATATGGTTATTATAATTTGAACATTTACGTGTATATTAAAAAATATTCAGTAAATTCATAACTTTAAAAATGCATTTATTTAAGTGATCATTCAAATATGATGTCTGCATTGGAAATAGGGAATACGTAAAAATTTTTTGAGATTGTGGCAGTGAATGTGGACTGTTAGTGGAATGATGATACACTAAGGATTTTCAAAAATTTTTCTATTTGAAATAATTTTTTTAAAATCAAAATCATTATGCAGAAATATTTTGATCAATGATCACACACAAACTTCTTGCTTATTTAAATAGTTGCTGTTTAGCAGAAGCTTATGCTTGTTATGTCTGTTGGAAGCGCTCTAATATTATAAAATTTTTAACATTAATGGATAATGGCTATAATTAACCCTTATAGATACAGANAAATTTGTAAAGCCAATAACCTACTTCAAATTTTTTTTTTATTGAAATGATTACATTTAGATTATAAAATATCATATATCATGACAAAATCTTTATGTAAAAAAATTCTATTTAACAAAAATACAATATTATAAATAAAAAAATTAGTAGAAAATTTAGAACATTTGCTTAAGATATTCTCAGGAGTTATTCCCAATAACTGAAATTAAATTTTACAAAAATTATGGTTAATATTATTAAACTTACCTTTCAGAAAGTGCAAAAGAAAGTTTTGTTTTCAATTCTTCGAATGCTTTATAGTATTTTAAATGTTTTTCGTTCCTAAAAGTTTCATCTGATAAAATAATGGAAGTGAGGATACGGTGTGTTTCTGAACCCCAACTTCCATTACTGTCTTGAACAGAAAAAAGCCATTCCAGAGCTTTCTGGCGACTTTCGTTGATTTTTGGGTTTTCATTTACTTGAATTTCTGTAGAAATATTATCATCATTAATTAATGTTATAGTGGACTAATTTCAATTTTAAAATATTAGTCGTTAAGAAATTTTATAATAACTTTTTTTAAAAATTAAAATAAGATGGTATCCTATGAACTTTTAAATGAAAATCAGGGATGGGAAGTCGGCAGAAAAATACACGACTCCCGAATCTCGAGTCGGAGTCTATTTTTAAAAATATCCATGAAAAAATCCGATTTCTCGACTCTCGACTCCGACTTCGACTTTCCATCCCTGATTAAAATTAATAAATAATTGCTTTTCAGAAATTAAGATAATAGTACCAAATTACATTGGAAAGTTACAAGAATAAAGGACACATTTTAAATAATACAAGATTTATTCAAAATCAAATTCTATTTTATCAATAGTCTTTACCTGCATCAGCGATCATGAACCCCTGATAGAAACGATTTCATGGTACCCCGTTGAATGTTTAGTAAGTTTGGTTTTTATCAATTATAAAAAATATATATTTGATATATTTAAAAACTTTGCTTATGTAATATGAAAGCAAGGTCCTAAAGCCGTCGTAAAAAGTCTTTAAAAACTTGACAGAAAAGTTTTCGCCANTCACGTGGCTAGCCCATCCTGGCGAACCTATGATCGAACTCCCAGTTTTCAAAGAACGGAACCACTTGGCCACTGGTGGGCTGCAAACATGTTGGAAAAACAGGATGTTTATTTTGACTCTTCTAATGTCCCAAAAGACTACCGTAATAAAAAAATATTTCGTTAAAACTTTTATACACTACTGTAGAAAAAAATATAGCAATTAGAAGTATATTTTTAGGTTATGGGTTGGTTAAATAGTTTAGAAACTATAATAAAGGTAATTAAAAGACTTTTTCGAAGTGCTTTGCTAAGTTTAGAAAGGTATGATGAGCAATTCGGAAACAAACTGAGCACCCTTAGTTTGTGAAGGAGTCTTATAAGGAATGTTAATGATTTATTTTCCATCTTTATATACTCTCCACGAACAAAGAATTTAATGCGGAGAAAAATGCTTTTCACAACTGTAGCGTTCAGTCAGTTCTCGAACTGCACACGGTATCGCTCGTTTTTATTTTTTAAACAATTCCAAATCTTTTAGTGTCTTAAATACATTTACTATTTGTTTCTTTGGATAATAATTGTCATTGCAATTATGCACACATCATTTAAAAGACATGATTTTGTAATAATTTCTTAAAACCACTGTCGAACGAGGCGATAGTAAATGGCAAACAACGATACAAAATGGACTTCCCGATAAGACGGCACCTGGTGGCGAACGTCTGAAGTACGACCACATTCCTGACAGTTAAACAATAGGAGTGGTATTATCTATATTCTTACACCATGGTTTACTCAGTGAACAGTTTTTTGTGTCTTTCGTGTCTTTCCTAAAAATAAATGGATGATAAAATGTATCTCTTTTCCATTCATCCATTTAAATGGTCTTTTAAACTCATTCTGTCGGTAATATATAAGAAAACACAAATTTATTATTTTGCATATCTGTTAAAATACAGAATATAAAAGAACAATTTTAGTTACCATTTGATATTGGAAATAAATTTCCCATTTCATCAATTTTGTATAATATTCCATAACGATAAGAATTTCCACCTATTTCTTGTATAAAGTAACCTAATGAATGCTCTATTCCTTTAAAACTAGAAAAAGAAAAATTTTACAATGTCAATACAATAAGCATAACAACATAAATTAGCAATTAGCATAAAAATTAATATAGCAAAACTAATGCAAAATAAATTTTAAAACATCATATTTTTAAATCATTTTTGTTCTGCTTATAAAATGATTATTTAAAGATTTTAATTTTAAGTTTATCTTCATAAGATATATTCAGATATCCAGTAAATGCTGTTATAGATAAGTTTATGTTCTTTAATTCTACCGTTAACTTTATATGATTAGTTGGTTCTTTAAAAAAATAATCCTGAGAAAAGCATGTTATGAAAATATTAAAATCATAAATTAGCATAGTTTGGTTATGATCCTTTATTTCTGCTATTATTACTAGGAAGACAGTTAAATATTAGTTAGCATTTAATTAAAATAGTATTATCATTAATGACTTTTTCTAAATTTTTAAAATTCTACAGATATTTTAGTAATATTTATAGAATAACTAGCTGTTACCAGCGACTTCGTCCGCGGAGGTTTTGCAAGCAAACCCCATTTATGTTCAATATTTCAATAACCATAGTAATTGTTATATAACACCTACCGCTGAAGAGAATTGCCGAGAATCAAACGAACTATCTTCAATTTGATCAATTTTTTCGAATGTTTACAATCGTTCTATAATCGAACCAATATGCAATAACAAATTCGAATTTAAAACGGTTCGAACATTTTTAAAATCGAAATAGATAAAAATATTTATAACAATATCTGAAATGTTATCAATTTAATACACCTAGGTGTAGATACTCAATAAAGCCTAAACGTAATTGAAAACAAAAACTCGCATCTAAAATAGTACAGTAAAAGCCGTTCTTCCGGTTAAGCCTTAATTCCCCCGCGGGGTATTTCTAAAAATCCCTTCTTAGTGTACGTTTTCATGGCATACCCTACTAAAACGCAGATAAAAACCAAAAATCGCATCCAAAATAGTACAGTAAAAGCCGTTCTTCCGGTTAAGCCTTAATTCTCTCTCTCTCCCCCGCTTGAAAATTTCGNAACTGTAGTAAGAAAAACAAATGAAAAATGCGAACTAATGTAACGTCGTATGGTGAGTTTTTGTTCGTATCGTGGAGCAAAAATATGTTCGAATTTCATGTCGTATCCTGAAAATTTCGTATGCTGGGGCGGTCGTAACCTGAGGTACCACTGTAGTTCCTTGCTTTGAATAGTTTAAAACACGGACGAACTATCACCTTCAAACTAATCTTCTTGGTGGACGATACACCGTTTTCCAGCGCTGGTACAGCTTGTGGAAGCTTTACTGTAAGCCATCTTTTCAACTACTTGTTTCCTGTGATGCGGTTTTTACCTCATTTGATAACTGAAAACAGCCTGAGATTGTTTCCATAATTTTTTAGTCATCATTCGTTTATATTATACTTTTTTCACATCGTTAATTAAAGTAACAAGACACTGTATATATATTTTTCAGTCAATAACGTAATAATGAAACGATTCTGTATTTGTCAAATCTAAAAGAAAAATAAATTTTGGTCTTGTTTATTTTTTAATTATTGAAACGTGTACAGTTAGTTTCATAATTACAAATATAACTTGAGAACATTTGTTCGTTAATATNCGATTTCATGGTACCCCGTTGAATGTTTAGTAAGTTTGGTTTTTATCAATTATAAAAAATATATATTTGATATATTTAAAAACTTTGCTTATGTAATATGAAAGCAAGGTCCTAAAGCCGTCGTAAAAAGTCTTTAAAAACTTGACAGAAAAGTTTTCGCCAAATAAATAGCAGATTTTCCATTAAACGAAATATTACATTTGTTTCTATTATATTTACAGTTGTACAAAGTTTATTGTTGTTTTTTTATGCAGATTAGAAAGTTAAAGTAAAATTTGTGAGCATTTTTGTTATGTTTTGATTTACTCAAATTAAATATTTCTTTGGAAAAAAGATATGCCATCACTGGTCTATATCAATCAATTTCTATCAATGCCTCAGTGATAGTTAATGTAAAAGCAATAAAGTCAACTGTATGGATAGTTTATTCTTATCTAAATCTGTAAAGATATATAATTTATTTTAGTAATTCGAGCAGAAATTTTTAGATTTTCAAATTATTTACAAAATGTCAGATTAATAAATAAAGTTATTGAGTATATGTTGTATTTGTAATTTTTTGTTTATTGAAAAAAACAAACAAAAAACTACTGTATATCAGATTATTATATGAAAATTTGTTAACCCTATTATTAATGATTTAAGATAGGAAGTGTTTACCTCCAACAACACAAATTATTTCAAAATAATGATTATATTTTTAAAACAAAAATAGATTAATAATCTCTTTAGTGAATTATAATCGCACTTTAAGTCTAAAACGATCTAACATTTTTATTCAAGATTTAAGACATCAATAGTACTATTTTACTATAGTACTAAATACTATTTTAAATTCATCCAAATCGGTTCATTGGTCGTATATTAAAATACAAAGTTGGCAAATTCAACATTAATACTTGTGGCATAGCTTTACTATAGAGCTCTACAGGACTCTAACAATGTAAGATATAAACATTTAACTGAAATAATGAACCAAATAAGTTCAATTACAGTTAAATTGAAAGACAGTATTTTTACACAATTTAAAAATACAGAAGAAACTAAGTCTTCTATAGTTCCGCCAATTAAAAAAAAATAACTATTGGCTTATCAGTGAACGTTTAAATATAATATTGTACGGGCGTAGCCTCTAATAAAAAGTCGTCTTTGCGAGGAAATCATGTTTTATTCCTGGTGATTGGACATGAAGGAACTGAAGAAGACGTAGTTTCTTCTATATTTTTAAATTGTGAAAGTAAGTTATTTATCATTAAGCACTAATGAATGACATACGGAGATTTTCGTAAAGGTTTACCAGTCTGCTAAATTTATCAATAGTTACCTTAAGTTCTGTGTAATTTAATTAGGTTACAGAAATTTAATATATGCAAAATTACATTCTAGATATTAAGGAATTATAAGAATATATCGCCAGTGATGCTAAAAATTTAATCATTAAAGAAATAAGAGAATGAAATACATTTAAAAAATTGTCACTTACGAAAATCGATTCCGCTTACGAAAACAGAATTTATCATCCATCCAATAAGCAAAGTAACTATCATATTGCTGCTCATATGTGCTGTTTTAAACCGTTTTATTCAGATCACCAGCAACCAACTTTTAGAAAATGATTTGATTATAATTTACAATGTATGTAAATAGTTACCTGATTACAACAAATTTCGCAATTATACGTAATCTAGACTCTACGCAATTATAAATGCAGCTATTGATTGGTCACAATATTGCCAATACTGTCTCAAACTAGTGATTTCATCGTTGAATTTATTTTAAAAATGAAAATATCGTTAACATTTTCAAATTATTTAGATAGTTCATACATAAATTTTTTAAATTTTATTCTTTCTTTCAACTGAGATGTGTTGTTATTATATATGAGCACCATTTTAAATAATAAATTTGGTGATACGGGAAGATTAAGAAGGGTATTAGCCTTAAAACAGTCTACAATTACATATAAAGTGACCAGATCCTGAAATGTAAAAAGCGGTATGTTAGGTAGGGCGTTTCGATATGACAACATGTGAATCACATGATTGATTCCGTCAGTTTTCTAGCTTTCTGAGATCATCGATGACAAGCTACGAACAAGCTAGGAATATTTTACTTATTTATATAGTGTTTACAAAATAACTACTGTACCTACAATAGTGACAACGATAGTGACAATGAACAATTAATTCATTATATTTCCGAATGTAGTTTTGTATGCTTTAACCACTTTTTTAAAACTCGGATAATGAGCAAACACTATGAACTCCTTTTTATAACTGACGCACTCAACTGACTATGCCTATTGAAATTTTTATGCTACAAGTTGTATGTGATTTATCTTTCACTCTCAATTTTTTAACATAATTACGAAACAGTCTAAATGTAGAACATTTTTCAAACATATTAAAAAGCGAGATTTTCCCGTATAATTCGGGACTTCTGGTCACTTTAATAATATAAATTGTTGTTAATATTTTTTGATCTGTTACTATCTTTTAGTTTTCAAACTACTGTATTAAAAATACAATAAAATAAAAACATTTTTCATTAAGTAATGCAGTGATCATTAAAATTATATGCATTTAATATTGATCATATTAACTTACAATTGATAAATAGATTTGTTTTCGCGAGGCAAAAATATTTTGTGAACTATATGTTCAGTTTTAATTATGTCCATTATGAGCAAGTTGAATCGTTGACAATCATAATGAATGATGATTGTCATGGGGATGAGAACGATATCCCTGACCTGTAGGCCTACTTCTTAAATTATAACGAGAATCCAGATTACATTCTATTTTGCTATATTATGAAAATATAGCATTTTAGGATTTTATTGCGCTGCAATTTGAAAAAATTGTAGACGTATAAATTCCCACTGTCGTCCGTCCGTCCGTCTTTCCTTAATCTCAATAACGAAGTTACATAGATGAAAAAGGACACTAAGTATGGAAACCTTATGGACAGGAGGCTCCGATATACGAACTTCTAATGCAAACTGGAAGTTACGTTATTTCAATTCAAAAGTTTTCCCCTGAAAGCAATTAATAAATGATCTATTAATTTTCTATTGTCAAAAGAAAAGTATAATGTACAGGGACAAGACACTACTAATTTGAGGTGGAGAGCATATATTTAAGATGAAATAAATTAAAAATATGATTAAAAATTGCAGCCCAGCATTGTGACAATGTCACAATAAATAATTGCTCATTTACTTTTTGTTTTCTTATATACGAGTATTAACATTGCAGCAATGGTGTCAGTAATATCGAGAATAGAAATGATGTCAATGATTGAAAAATGCTCAAATTTAAAAATCATGATTTTGTATTTATCAAAATATCAAAAATCAAATCAAATTAGAGAGGTTGAGGCGCACGTTTTAAACGTGTAAACGTGTACGTGTGACGTTCGGCGCCGCTTTCCCGTAAGCCTAAAAGTTTGACAATGGTGTTTGGAAAGTTGGTGGAATTATGCTCGACATTCCAAACACCATCGTCAAACTTTTAGGCTTACGGGAAAGCGGCGCCGAACGTCACACGTACACGTTTACACGTTTAAAACGTGCGCCTCAACCTCTCTAATA